GTGAGGCATCGAGGTGTCCGTCAGTAGGCATGTGCCTGCAGGGTGCACCATGACTCCTGCTGTCTTCAGGCTGTACGGTTGCTGGGAGAAGGGTTTAACCACCAGTTCTGGAGCCTTTGCCTGCTGGGAGGAGCTGTGGGCTTGTGCTGAGAGAGCACAGGCCTGGCTGATGACCTGCCTTGCATGCTAGGTGCCTGCAGGCCCTGCAGTGATGCCGAGCTCCTTCTGGCTGCATGCACCAGTGACTTCGGTGAGTATTCCTGTTGTGGGGGAGCTTAGAGTCTGGCCTACATCCCCACATGCCCACCACTAGCCCCCGTGTCTCTTCACAGTGATACATGGAACCATCCATGGGGTCACCCATGACATGGAGCTGCAAGAATCAGTCATCACTGTGGTGGCCACCCGTGTCATCCGCCAGACACTGTCCCTGTTCCAGGAAGAAGGCTCCGAGGGCCTGGGCCAGACCTCCATTCGTACCCCATTGCGCTGCGGTGTGCGTCCTGGCCCAGGCTCCTTCCTTTTCATGGGCTGGAGCCGATTTGGTGAAGCCTGGCTGGGCTGTGCTCCCCGCTTCCAAGAGTTCAGCCGTGTCTATACAGCTGCCCTTACAGCCCACCTCAACCCATGTGAGGTGGCACTGGACTGAGAGACCTGGGAGCAAGTCCCTGCCAGACCTTCTGCTGGGAATGGGGTACTGGGGAGGGGTGGTAGGAAGGGTGTGGTTCAGACAGCATCCTGGTGCCCGCAGTGAGTTGATAGAATACTAAATAACTGGATGACACCAGCCACTGTAGACTTGGTCTTCTGTGACACACCCAGCTCTGCTCCGGCCTCCCTTTACTTGCTCTCCCCTCTGTTGCCCTCCTAGCCCTTCTTCGCCTGCCTGCCCTGTTGACCCGGCTGACCAATGAGTCTGTTTTCCTCTAATCTAGGGTGCTCCTGGGACTGAGTGCAGAAGTGCTGAAAATCTCAAGACTTGGGCTACTTGGGGTTTTTTAGATGGCCTGGGGGGCAAGCAGACAGACATCACCTCCCGCTCTGCACGAGGTCCGTTAGGGAGGAGTGCTGTAGTCTGGCGGTGTGCCATTCCCCTCCATGGTCGTTGTGAGCCGTACAGTCATCCTTGGCCTGGTCCCGCCCTTGGGGAAGAATGAGCCCCTCTGTCCGGAGGCCCCTGCGACGTGCTGAGCATCCAGACATGGCAAAGCGCCTGCAGGGTGTGGGGTCTCCATTGCAGGATCCCGCTTGTTCGTTTCCGGCGGGATAAGTGCACAATGGGGTCTCTAAGGACTGCTTCCCGCCGCTGGCCCCATTGTTGCCGTCCCTGCCTTCCTCCTGGGCCTCTTTATTTTGTAAAGGGCTAGTGAGACCCTGGACAGACAAAGCCTGTGGCCTGAAAGCCCTTCAGTGAGGTGTGCACTAGGTTTCTCAGGCTCCAACCAAGCACATTCCTGCCACTTCTCTCTCATGGCTCTGAGAAACTGCTTCAGCTCCAGTGCTGAGTGGAGTGTAGTGGGGGTCCAGAAATGGCTTTCTGTCCTTGTATGCCCTCCCTTTTAAGACTTTCATCCACCATCAGTCCCAGTGGGCTGTTCATTCTTTGGTAGGAAACAGGCTGGGAGAGGGGCAAGGCTGGGCAGGGACCAGACATACAGTTCCTTGCTCCAGGCTGTGCCAGTTGAAGGTACCTGGTGGTGACACACCCTATATAGGCCCTGGAATGGCTACCTTGGAATGCTTATAGGCAGATAGCTTAAATCACACCTGTGTATTCTGGGGGTGGGCAGAGAGCGTGCCACCAGTACTTAGCCTGCCTGCTTATGGAGTGGGAGGGGCGATGAGGGCAAGAGATCGCTCCTGGAGAGCAGGTGATGCCATTTTCTTCCACCATCTGCCTCTGAACTGGCTTCCTGCTACTTGCTCTCATTTCCCCAAACCCCATGAAGTGCTAAGGGCTTACCCTGGCACCTGGGTGTAGGGGAAGACTGGGCCAGTGGCCTCATGTTTGCTCCAGGGATCAAGTGATGAGACCCCCAAAGTGGAAGCAGGGACGGGGGAGTGGTGTGTGGGAGCAGGTGGACGAAAATCACAGGAGCTAGCCTGGGAAAACCTGTGTGGACCAGAGGACTGGGGGGTGGGGAGCTCTGTGTGGGTGCCAGTGTCAGGTAGAGTTGCCAGCGCTTTTCTGGGCGCTTTAGGCAGGAGCAGCAGACAAGAATAGCTGTGCTCAAGCAACCCTGTCTAGAATTCAGGGTGTGGGAGGGGGAGGGCCACGCTCCAGTTCTCCCAGTGGCCAGATTCTGAGCTGGGTAGAGCAGAGCCTCTCTCCACAGACTACACATACTCCTGCTGTCTTGGGACACCCGTCCTCCAGATTGTTTTGGAGGAAAACATGGAGGTGGTCTTGGGCACACTCAGTTTGGAAGTCATCACGGTCTCTACTAGAGATAGTTGAGGAGAATCAGGCCAGGACTGCATAGACAAGGAGGAACTGACATTTACGGCCATTTGGCTTTAATGTGGGTGGTCGGGGTCCAACAGATTGACTCAAGGCTCTATCTGTTTCCATGCAGGGCCTTACTAGGAGTTACTCAACCCTTTATTTTTGAAGGAAGGAGATCTTCCGGGCTCCTGGGCTGTCTTTCACCCCAGGCTGGGCCAGCTGCCAGCACCCAGCCTCTCGCATCCGGCCCCCTCCCTCCACACTCACTAGAGAGCCTACATCTGTCTGTATCTACCCGCCCCTCTCCTTCGACCCCAGAACACCCTCTATTTTCCTCCTAATTGTCGTCACTGTCGGAGTGAGTGGAAGGATGTCCTCCGTGGGTTGTTTATGGGTGTTTGGTAGGCTTTCCGAAAGCCTTGGTCAGCAGAATCCACAAGAGAATGACTTCCAGTTACAGTGGCCCTGGTTTTAACCCGGGGCTGCGGGGCTGCACGGGAGGAACGGTATGGCCTCGGGGATCCAGACCAGAGATTCCTTATAGTTGTCTGCAGGGTAGACCCAGAGGCTAGCCGCTGTAGATCCTGGACCGTAGACCCACGAGGGGCCAACTTTCTACGGCTCGCCTATCGCCTGGGTCATTGGGACTCGATTACCATCACCCGGAACCCACGGGAGGGGCCACGCCCGGTTGGGCGGGGAAGTATGAGTGACGGACGGGACGGACGGTCCCCCCCTCCACTTCCGGCGTTTGATACCGGCTTCTACTTAGACTTAAAGCAATCGTTACCGCGACTGGGTTAGGCGCAGAGCAGAGAGACTACGGCTCAGGCCGGCGGTAACCGGGAGGGCAGCCGCCTCCCCTGACTGTGGAGTGGGGGGGGCTTGGGAGGGACGGCTCTGAATTGCTTGTCTCTCAACCATGGATCACGACGACCCGGCCGAGGCGTTGACTGCGGTGCGCGAGAGGCGGCCGAGTTTGCTGGAGCTATTGCAAGTGGCGACAGGCTCCGGGTTGGTTGCCTACACCGTGTGGGCGCTGCTTCTGCAGCCGGGCTTCCGCCGCGTGCCTCTAAAACTTCAGGTGCGACGCGGGACCAAAATTAGTGCGAGATGAATGGGCGGGATTAAGGCTGCTGTAGGTGGCTTGTAAAGATGGGCGGAACCAATTACAGTGAGGAACCACATGGATACGCGGAGGGGTGGAACTAATATTATGTTGCAGGGCCTGGGCCTGTCGTCATGACCAAGTGTATATAAATGAAGCTAGGATTGAATTACTGACGGGTTATGGGCAGTGGTGTGCCAGGAGGGTGGGTGGGGCAGCACTGGGTGTGGCAGATAGCTAAGGAAGGAAAGCTAGTAGGCACGCAAAGGTCTTCAACCTGGTGCTTCAGTCTGTGCGACTGTAGCCGCAGACCCACCAAATTCCTTTTTCAGGTGCCCTACATTGGTGCGAGTGCCCGACAGGTTGAGCACGTGCTGTCGCTGTTACGAGGCCGCCCTGGAAAAATGGTGGATCTAGGCTCTGGTGATGGCAGGATCGTAAGGCCTGTGTGTCTGTTCGTTGTCCCTTCGTGGTTGCCCCTTCCTTACATCCAGGTCCCACACTCTTGGCTCTCATAGGTGCTGGCGGCCCACCAATGTGGTCTCCGTCCAGCTGTGGGTTATGAGCTGAACCCATGGCTTGTGGGACTTGCACGGCTGCATGCCTGGTGGGCTGGTTGTTCTGGGAGTGTCTGCTACCATCGGAAGGATCTCTGGAAGGTAACCTATCAAACTTCATTTTCTTTTTTTTTTTTTTTAATTTTATTTTCTTTTTTTTTTCTGAGACACAGTCTCTAGTCCAGGCTTATCTCAAACTCACTATGTAGCCCAGGATAACATTGAACTCCTGCCTCTACCTCCTGAGTGCTAGGATTATAGGCCTGCACCATCAGACCTAGTTTATCCGGGGCTTTGTATATGTTTGGCAAGCACTCTACCAACTGAGTCACATTCCTAGCTCCAATACCTTTATCTCCCAGATTTCTTGCTCTGAGTGCTATCATACTGATACCTGGGTGGGCTGGAGGCCAGAGCTCGGTGACCCCATGCCTTCCAGCTCCTATCTTTGTTTCCCACAGGTGAGCCTCAGAGACTGTCACAATGTGTCTGTGTTCCTGGCCCCCAGTGTGGTAGGTCTTGGGTCTGCTGTCCTGCTGGGAGGTCAGGGCTACAGTCTTGGCTCTTGGCTGTTCTGATGCTTGGAATAGGTTCTGGGCCTACATGGATGGGGCAGCTTTTTCTTACCTGCTCTTGTGCCCCCCTCCCTCCTGTTCTTCTTACAGCTCCCACTGCTGGAGGATAAGCTGCAAAAAGAGCTACCTGCAGGGGCCCGTGTAGTATCTGGACGTTTCCCCCTTCCCACCTGGCAGCCTGTAGCTGTGGTGGGTGAGGGCGTGGACAGAGTCTGGGCCTATGATGTCCATGGTGCTGGGCCAGCTGTGTCTTCTTGTGGGGTGCCCATCAAGGCCATCCCAGAGTCCAGTTCTACCTCCCTTCCTAGGACTTTAGGTTGACAGGCTGGTTGACTGGATACAATAAAGACTCTGTGGGTTCAATCCTGACTTATCACTCTATGGGATAGGGTGTGCAGCAGATGCCGTGCTGGCTGTGAAGAGGTTTGATTTGTGCTTCCTCTGGGAGACTAGTTAGCTAGTGACTCTGGGTCCTTGGGCGCCGGGGCCTAGAGGAAGGCATAGCTTCTACTCCCTGGGGATCTCCTGTCTTCACCAGCTTCCTCAGTCTCTGGATTTCCTGCTTGTACCTGATTGGGATTATCAGACCAATCACGTGTGTGGCCATGGGTTCTTTCCCTTCCACCTAGACCAGGGCCCTGGGGTCACACCCAGCTTACCTGCCCAAGTGCTGGTCCACATACTCCTGTAACTCAGAAAGCTGCTGTTCCGCCATGGTGGCCCGGACCATCAGCTGTGCCCGCTCTCGTTCTAGCTCTACCTGGTGGAGGAATGAGCCATGAGCCAGGGCAGGGTGTAGGGAGGGGGTCCCCATCCTTCCTTGCCTACTACCTGGGTGTCCTGGGAGAAGTCCCGCAACTTCTGCTGGATTTGGGACCAGGATGTAGTATCGCGGGCCCTGTGAAGGGAGGAGGGCAGGAGGAGCAGTTTCCAAGGTAGGCATAATACCTGCTGTGTGGTGTTAGGACATTATAGCACTACCTGGGGCCCTGGAGCATCTGTACCAGCAGAACGCTCTGGCCAGCGCAGTGACTCCAGTCTACTGGGTGCCTCCCCCCAGTCCCTGGGAGATGATGTCTCAAGAGATTATAGAGCTGGTATAGAAGCCCAAATCTAGGGCTGGCCATGTCATCAGACTTTGCTTCCACCAAGTTTCACCTATCAGATGCTTAACAAAGTAGCCATCCAATTTTCCTATGATTACCAGTGTCCCCCATACAAACAGAGTCCAAGGGATAGGAGAATCCCAGCCAGCAGCAAGGGTTGGCGGAATCAGTGAAGGATGTGCAGCTTCTGGCTCTGTCTTCCTGACTCCTAGACCTCCCATATACCAACAGGAGGGCACTCACAGTGGCTGTGACCTTCCTTCCTTAGAAGTTGCACCAGGTCCTTTCTCGGGGCACAGTAGCAGTGTCCTGTATCGGCCATACTGTAAAAGCACATGGTGGGGTCCCTTGATTGACTGAACAAAGCCAACTGCTCCAAAGGCTCTGAGTTTGGGATGAGGCCTGGGGGGAGTGCAGGGGCTCTGGACTTAAAGGCAGTTTCAGGCAGCAGGGACAGGGCACCTGGGCCCCAGCCTTACCTTATCCTCCCTTTGGTGGCTGAGTTCAGTGGCCCAGTGCATGGATGATGGCTCCAGGTCGATGGCTGTTGCAAAAGTAGCCCTGGGAGTACCACGTGCCCTGTTGGGATCTATGTGTGCCTGGGACTGCTTCTGTGGCACACTGAGCCACAGTGCAGCTCATATGGGGCCACCTCACCTCACCCTGGGTGCCTAGGACAGGGTGGAGCCCACCTGCAGGTGGATAGTAGCAGCTCCTGCCTCCGGCTCAGATCCACCAGGCGCTTGCGGTAGGTCCGGGCCGCTTGGGCCAACTGTTGTTCTCGGCTCCGGTGTGCGGCCCGAATGTCCTGCAGAGTGGCCTCCAGGAACGTCTGAAGGGCTGCCTGACCTGTACTGTTGGTGGTCTCCTGGAGGAGATTGGATAGGATGGAGCTAGGGTTGGGGCTCGCTTTGGATTAGGTTAGGCAGTCAAACTGTAGGAGTTGGGCTTGAGTTGGGCAGGCTGGCACTTGACTGGGCCCAACCTCACCTCCTACCCCAGCTGACTGTGCAGGGGCCTGGCACCACAAAGTTCCCCATATCTGCCTGCCCAGCACGCCCAGGCCAGGCTCACATTCCTCAAGACTCAGAGGCCATTCCGACTGCCACAGAACCTGACAAAGTGCTCACCACTGTCTCTTTGGCGTAGCGCTGCAGCCGGACAGCATACTCCTCATTCAACTTCTTCAGCTGCAATTGCAGCTGAGCATTTTCAGCTTCAGCCTGCTGGAGCTGATCCTGACAGGTTGACAACACCTGGGACATACAAAGGGCTCTGGTTCTGTTTGTAGGACACCCTCCTGCTAGATCTTGAGGTTCATAGGGTGGGCAAACCCTCACCATTGCTTGGGCAGCCAGCCGCTGATCAGCTGCCCTGGCTTCCTCTTGGGCTCTCTGCAACTGCCAGCCTAGGACTGCCCTGTGGACACAGTACAAGCACAGCTAGGCCAGGACTTGTGACCTTGTAGGCCACTGGGCACTGCTTGTTCTAGGCGAGGTGAAACTCACACTCGTGTCTCCAATGCCTGCTGTCTGACTCTGTGATGCTCCAGGACCAAGTTCAACTCCCCCTGCAGCTTCTGCTGGTGAACAAAAGCTGGCTGTGTGAGAGACAGCAAACTCTGGAACCCCCCACTCCTCCACCACCTACCCCCCCACCCCCCCAGTGCTAGGTGGCTGTGTACTCACATTGTTCAGGGTCTCAGGCTCAGAGAGTCTGTCTTGCTTGAGCTGCACCTTTATGGTTAGAAGGGAAGCAAGGGGAGGGGAGGGGAGGGAGGAGGCAGCAGATACTTGTTTCACTGCCCCTGTGGAGGTGCCCAGCCCAGCTTTATACGTGCTCATGGTGATCTGGACTCTGTTGTAGGTGACACATTCAGGCTTGGGCTTCTCCACTGACCTCTTGTGGTGGCACCTTGTGTTGCCCTGGACTGGCTGCTGGTTGGACTCCATGTCCCCTGCAGTCACCATTTCCATGCAGTTCTAGCTCTAGCACCCGACTTTCCAGTCGAAGAACCTGTGGACATCAAGGGTGAGCAGGGCTATTTGCTGGACCACTGCAGGAGGCTGGTATTCATGCAGGAGCAGATGCACAGGGCCAGGTAAAAGCCCACAAAGTGCATATTTATTCCTGGGCACCTGAACTCCTTAGTGCTGCTTGTCCTGGGTGCACACTCTGTTCCTGGATGCACCCAGGCTGACACACATAGCTTGCTTGGCTACTCACTTCCCTCTTCAGCTCGAAGACTTCAGCTTCATGCTGCTCACGAAGGCGATGGGTTGCAATCTGAAGGTCAACCAGCTCCTTGGAAATCTGTGGGTAACCAGGGCGAGGGATGCTGCCAGTGGCTTTGTGGGCTCCCTGTTCCTACAGAACCCCACAGCCCCACATTTACCTGCAACTGCTGCTTCTCACTCGGCTCTGGATCTGTCTGATACTCTCCCTCCAGGCCAGTAGCCCAGGTGGGCTGTCCAGAAACCCTTGGCAGCCAATCCTCAGTTCCTGGAACAACCTGGGAAGGCACCCCCACCCACACACACACATTTAGGTGGGTCTCCAGCCCGGGCTGTGGACCCCACTCTTATAGAGGCATGACGTTCCTCTTGAACAAGGTCAGCTCCTCCCCTGGGCAGGAACAGACACAAGATCCAGGGACTTCTTCCCTTCTGGTCTGTGAAGGAAAGGAAGGACCCCAAGGCAACATCCGTGTCCTGGAAAGACTCACATTCTCTGTGACTTGAAGTGGGGCACCTGGCCTGGGGCCTGGGGCTGCCACATACTCCATAGTGGAGAGGAATCCTGGCTCGGGATCTGTCTGATCGTGGCCTGCTTCCCGGCTGTTGCTGTGAGTGTTGCCAAGGCCTCTGTTGACCTTAGAGACTACCCATCCTGCCTACAAGGAAGGACAAGGCCGTTCAGTGCTCACGAAGAGGGGAGTGCTCAACTCCTTGCACCTTCCACTCCTTCATGGCGGCCCCATGCCATCTGGGAAATACAGAAAGGCAACCAGTTTATTTCAGGCCAGTTGGATCCAGAAGTGCAAGACGATGCCAAGCCTGTACTGCAATTGTGGGCACTATTTGTCTTTATGTGGGATGTTCTGACCTCCTGCAGGGATTTGTAACTCAGACTCTTACCTATCTTCCTGTGTCAGCAGAACTCACACCAGCAGGTGAACAAACTGGACACACCCGTCTGTCAGAGAGAAGCAGACATAATCAGGGGCAGTAGACCGCACGAACTAGCTCAACCTGGGCGCCAGGAAGGATAAATTGGAAGAGGTGCCCTTTATTGATGCTGGGTTGGAGCACGCTCACCATCTCACACTGTGCTCTATCGGTGCCTGCATTCTCTTTTGCGCATGCGCAATTCCTGCAGTCGTTTCTCAGGTCTCAGCAGCACTCAGGGTCGCGGCCGGAGAGAGGGAGAGTGTGGTGGGCAGCGGCTACTATCTGTCAGGGACGCTAGACTGGCGGCTTATGTGTGGGTGAGAAGGGAATGAGGTCGACTCAGACCTTGGGGGTCTCACTGTAACTGAGAGAGGCGGGGCCTGTGAAGGATGGCAGAACCAGGGGCGGAGCTAAGAGAAGCCGCATTGCTGTGTAACTTTTGGGGGAAGGTGAAGTTGGTACAAGGGGCGACGGCCCCTGAGTTTTGGATCTGAAGTGGATCCTCTGAGAAGATCTTGGGCAGCGGAGCAACTCTTTCTTTGTACCCCCAGTGTGTGTGTGTGTGTGTCTGACCCACCTCATACAGCTCAGGAGAAGGGATTCACTAGGCTGGGTTGCCTCTTCTGGAGAAGGTGTGGACTGGCTGAGGTCTGCGACCATGAAGGTCAAAGTCATCCCGGTACTTGAAGACAACTACATGTACCTGATCATTGAGGAGCACACACGGGAGGCAGTGGCTGTGGATGTGGCTGTGCCCAAGAGGGTGAGGACCGACAAAGGATGCCATCAAGGGATTCCCTGCCACTCTGGTTGGAACAGACCCGACCGGACCCCTATAGTTTTATGTCATTTGATGTATTATCTTTGGGCTCCCCTAAAGTTACAGCTACCTTTGATGTTCCTGGTGCTCCAGTTCTTGTAATTGTCTGCTATTTCCCCTAACCCTTGCTGCTCTGAGTCCTGGGCCTGCCTGTAAAACTAAGCCCTGAAACTAGTGTTCCAGTATGGGATGGGTGGCCCATGGCACTACACCTCCATCCTTTCCAGCTGCTGGAGATTGCAGGCCGCGAGGGGGTCTCTCTGACCACGGTGCTGACCACCCATCATCACTGGTGAGTAGAGGGTATGTGTGCAGGCCTAAAGCATGTTCCTTCCCTAGCACCCCGACTTGACCAGGCCCCTGCACTTTCACAGGGACCACACACGTGGAAATGCAGAGCTGGTGCACCTGCAGCCAGGACTGGCGGTCATGGGAGCAGATGAGCGCATCTGTGCACTAACCCGCCGGCTGGCACATGGGGAGGAACTTCAGGTAAGTATGCACCCAGAGGGGGTGGGGAGGGTCCTGACCTGGGCCTGCCTACCAGTCCTCACAGGTCCAATGCCTCACCATCGCAGTTTGGGGCCATCCACGTGCGATGCCTCTTGACGCCAGGCCACACCTCTGGCCACATGTGCTACTTCCTGTGGGAGGATGAATGCCCGGACCCACCAGCCCTCTTCTCTGGTACCTTGCAGCCTGGACTCACCCACTTATGCAATTCCGCTGTGCCCTCCCTACCCCTTCTGACCCTCTTTCCTCCCTAGGGGATACTCTGTCAGTGGCAGGCTGTGGCTGGCATCTGGAGGACACTGCCCAGAAGATGTACCAGAGCTTGACCAAGACCCTAGGCACCCTGCCACCCCAGACGGTGAGAGAGCCTTCTGTGGAGTTCACATGCTTGGTACTGGAGTTTTCCCTGGTACAACCTATGCTTCTATGACTGTCCTGCTTTGGTAAAGTTGATATGGATGCTAGGTTAGGGGTGCGTGCCTGTCCCTCCCTCGGTTTGGAGCTATGTATGTTCACTGAGCTCCCTCTTCTTACAGAAGGTGTTCTGTGGTCATGAGCATACGCTGAGCAATCTTGAGTTTGCGCAGAAGGTGGAGCCCTGCAACAACCATGTGCGAGCCAAGCTGTCCTGGGCCCAGGTGCATCCATTTCTGGCTCCAAAACAGGGGTGGGAGCGGTAGTCTTCCTGAAGTTTGGGGGAAGTTGGGGAGAGTCAGAATGACACCTCTGCTGGCTCCAGCTGGCTGGAGACCTGTCACCTGCCCTAGTCTCCCTGTGGCTGGTCGGCTGTCGGCCCAGCGGTGACCAGGGGCCTGTGCTCTTTGCAGAAGAGGGATGATGATGACATACCTACCGTGCCTTCCACACTGGGCGAGGAACTCTTGTACAACCCTTTCCTGAGGGTGACGTAAGTATGGCTGTGCCCTGGGCTTTTCTGTGGTGGGGCCTGAGCCATACCAGTGGGTGGGGCAGCCTCAAGAGGCTATGCACACTGCCAGCTGGAGTCTCCCCATGGAGTAGTCTCAGGACTAGCCTGGCATCCTTGGGGCCTCTTTGGCAGTCATTTGGGTAGTTAGTAGTATCTGGGGACTATTTATTGAGCTGAATGTCCCTGGCACCAGGGAAGGGCATTTGTTAAGGGCCCTCTTCCTTCCATCCACTGCCCTGCTGGGCCCCACCCCTATGGGCAGCTGGCCAGCCCCACAATTCCCCAGCATACTCTTCCCTGCAGAGAGGATCCAGTTCGTGAGTTCACAGGCCAGGTGGCACCAGCCCAGGTCCTGGAGGTGCTCTGCAGGGAGTGAGCACGCTTCCAGCTCGCTCTGGAGCCACCACAGCTCCAGGTTCGGGCACTCCTGGCCTTGCAGTGGGGACTTCTGAGTACACCCCAGGAAAAATGAGCCCTGGGTGGAGCCTGCTTGTCTCCATACCCCTTCCCCTGACCTCAGGCTGACTGGAACCCTGGCCTCCAGAACATTCCTCTGAGGCCCTGCCACCCTGCTCTGAAGAACCAACAAATGGTGCTTTCCTTCTCTCTACCACTCATGGGGCCACACAGCGGAATTTCTGAAGGGGCTGTTGTGGGCCCTGAGACATACACGTCCTGGGGACCGAGAAGGGTGAATAAAACTTGGCAAGGCCCAGTGTGGTGCCAGACACACAGCAGATGCTTCCAGAATTGCAGACCTGTTTATTAGTGGTGAGGCTGGGTGAGAGCCAAGCTCAGTGAGACTCAACTACGGTTCTCACGGCCATACAGGCTTGGTGCTGACAGACTGTCCAGACAGCAAGGCCCTGGCGAACAGGCAGGTGCCCCACTAGGTTCCGGTTTGACACCCGCCCTATACACTGTAGCTTCAGGGGTTAACCACAGAAAGGAAACCTCTCATACGCAGGCTACTATAGCCAGAGGGCAGGGCAGGGAATATGCCCATGGCCCTGGGCCAGCAGAAGAGATTCTGGAACCTCATTGAACCTTTAGCCTCCTCGGCTCCCCGATCCTGCCTGCAGTCCCTCTCTGCAGAGCTCAGTGTGGAGTGGGAAGTACATGGGCCATAGGCAACACTACCAACCAGAGGCACGCAGGTCATGTGCTCAAGGACCCTGTGCAGCACAGAATCCAATACATCCTTGTAGCTCTCCTCGAGTTCTGAAGCTCTCTGGTGTCTTCTCTGTTGCTGATACCCACGTGGTCTTTGGGAGTCTTGGAGTTGGCCCCTGGGGCCCATACTCCTACCACCTGATGCTGAAGCCTGAGTTGGTCTTCTCCACGGCATGGTATTGTGTGTGCAGCAAGCGGCTGGCCTGCTCGGAGCCCTCACCTTGCAGCCAATGCTGGTACAGCTCCTGGACCCCAGGGGCATCTTCGGGTGCCTCATTCCTCACCATGCTGTACAGTCTTTCCACTTGCTCGAGGAGCTCCCTGCCTTGCATATCTGGAGCCTTGAGCTGGCCCCCTCCATTCAAGCAGCCTGGGGCAGAGTACAGGGCATGGTGGTGGAAAGTCAGGGTGAGCTCCCTGACCCCAGGTGTGGAGAGGGGACAGGCCCCCCTCCTGTCCAACCCCTTCCACCTCCCACTGGTGGCAGGCTGCTGTGCTATGCTATGAGGAACTACCTGAAGGGCAGGCCATGACTTCCACATAATGGTAGGGACAGCGGCCTCGTTTCAGTTTCTGCACAAGGTTCTGGATGTTGCGGAAGCCGTAGGCCACAGCAAAGCGCAACAGCACCTGGCCTTCCCTCTTCAGCGTCACCTCCTGGAAGTCCTTGTTCCTGAAAGTGTAGGAGCGGGCTTGGGAAACCTCACATTGCCATGCAAACCTGTCCCTGTCCAGGTGCAGAAGTCTTCTGGGGTTCAGCACACTACCATATGGCTCTGCCCTCTTCTGCTTGCAGGCAGGGAAGGGATGATGGAGAAGGGGATACAGCTTGTATCCCTGGGCCCACCAGGTAACCTCATCCCAACCTTGATCTCCCTAACTAGCACAGGGCAGCCATGAAGCCCAGCAAGGAATGACAGCCCAGCCCCAGGGGCTGACCCCATACCAGGCCCCTGCTGGTCCTTGCATATATCGCCCAGGCTCAGGACCACTACTGAGGAGACTGAGGCGCGCGCTCACGCCTCACGCTCATAAGAGGAGGCCCACTTGTGCGAAGGGATCCAGAGGTCTTTTCCCCCAGGCTCACTTCAGTGTCTGCCCTGCTAACCTCATGGGCTGGTAGGTAACTTCTGTCACATGGATTCCAAAGAGCTCTTGGGCCGCGTGCCGGAACACATGCTCCAGGTAGCCTCCTGAGCCGCCACCCCGATGGCTGGTGGGCTCCTCAGCAGACACACTACTGGTTCTGGGAGAGGGGCGGGTCAGTGCAGGAGGCTGGGGCTCAATACAGCTCAAGTCCCTTGTAGTCAGACCTTAAGAACTGTTCTTATGGTGGCCCTGGGAAGCTCAGATGGCTTCTAGAGAAGGCTCTGCTTTGACACTGTAACTCAGCCACTCTTGGGCCCCAGCCAGGCTGTGGGGAGGTCTGGAGTCGACCAGAAGGAGCCTGGGTAGAAAGGAGGGGACGAGGCACTGCCCCACCCCACAGGCAGCATCTGATCCCAAATAAAGGTTCTCAGTTCCCACCACCAACTCACAAGCCATCCAGGGGCACAGGCTCCAGCTCCACGAGTGAGACGCCTTCTTCCTCCAGTAGCCTAAAGACTTCTCCTGCAGAGGACACAGCACATGCTCTAGTTGGTCTCAGAATGCCAAGCTGTCTGTGTCCCCAGAGGGACACTCACGCCAGCTTGTGTTGGGATGGCGAGTCCAGTCAGCCTCTTCAGACCCATTGGAAGGCATTCCTGCCTGGAGCATTGCAAAGGGAGCCGGGGAGACCTTGCCTGCCCTCAAGACTCATTTCTGAACTAGCAAGGATGCGATACTGGGGTTCCATTGGTCATAGGACCCTGGGCGGCACTGCGGGAAGCCCCTGCTGTCTACTGGACTCCAGCGCTTGGCTTGAGGGGAGCCCTGAGACCGCAGAGGCAGAAATCTGCAGGGTGGCTGCACCTGTTGTAAGGACACAGTCCACGTCACGGGTCTGGTACTCCTGGTTGAAGAAGTCAGGTCTGGACGCTTCTAGCTTTTTGTCATAGCAGGGCATCACAGTCACATGGTAGATCTTGTCTGGAGTCAGATGCTACAGAGAGAGCACCAAAAGCTTCAGTCCCATCTGAACCAAGCTCGGAAGTGGCCACCCTGTGACCAGGTCATACATTCCCTCCTGCTTCTGTCCACGGCCACCCTGTGACCAGGCCATACATTATCTCCTGCTTCTGTCCCTACCAGCCAGTGGCAGCAGAGGAGATAGGCTCTCACTGCCTTTGAAAGAACGGACAGGTCACAGTGGAAACAACACAGACTCGAGGGAAATGTGGCCATGCACATGCAGAGGGGACACACGGGGTTGATGTTAGTGCTCGTGGTTTCGGGCACAATGGAAGCCACCTCCTTTCCTCATCCTCCATCAGTGGGTCTCTTCAGGCTAGGTCCTGTGACTCACTGGAAACGACCTCAGATGAGATCTGATTTGCTCACCCAGCAGCCTGTGGACTGTGCTTCTAGCCCTTGGTCCCCTGCTCCCTAGACGGGGAGTCACGTGAGAAGTGCCTTCATATCAGAAGTGGGGCCCCTGGTGCCTGACAAGCTGAGCGAGACTGATATGGGGGCCAAGCTTACTCCACTGGCAGCGACCACTAGGTTTCAGTCACCTCGACACGGCCAGAGGTGCCATGGCTACAGGCAAAGGATCACTGGCCAGCCAGAAGTCCATCTCTCACTCCTGTGTCACAGCTAGCTGCTCCTCATTATGTTGCCTGGGGACGCCCAGTCCTCTTACCTGTTGCTGGGCAAAGAAGTCCTTGACCAATGAGCCCATCACCTGCTGTGGGGACCGGACTGTGCTGATGTAGGGGAGGATAAAGTTGCCATGTGTCTTCTCAGCATAGCAGATCCAGCCTGAGGCAAAGGGAACAAATAGGTCTGGGGTGTGCATGGGGCAGGCCTGGGGGTGGTTCACAAACGGCTCTTCTCCTCTTGTCAGTGACATGACATTCTGGGGGTGGACCGATTCATACAAGAAATTACTGTGGCATTAAAACATTCCTCCCGTCATCCCTGTCACGAGGAAGGCTGGCATCTAGGTGATCACCAATGGGAACTGGTGACTGCAGGTGATGTCCTGGCCTTAGGTACCTCCTAGGTACTGACATTTCCACCCTTCTCCAGATAACCCCTCCCCATCACTCCCATTTTCCTTGACAAGCTGTCTGTCTATCAAGTCCTAACTTGGTGATCTGGATATACCTGGGCAAGCAGAAGCCAGCATGGGCAAGGCCTCTCTGAAGTCCTAACTTGGTGATCTGGACATACCTGGGCAAGCAGAAGCCAGCATGGGCAGGGCCTCTTTGGAGTTCTCTTGCCCCCGGAACCGCCGCACAAACTCTCTCTGGCTCTCCAAGAGACTGAAGTTCCTAGCGAAGGTGGTATCGAAGACAAAGTGTACCCCTGGAAGGCGATGGAAGGTGAGCATGCGCCTTAGCCGTAACCATGGTGAAAACTAGCATCTGACATCTGTGTCCTAAGTGGAGCAGCGCTGTAGACCACAGGCTAAGGCAGGGCTCTGCCCCAGTGGTGCCATAGCATGTCATCTCTATGGGGACACTAGGAAGCACCGTTTTACCAGGCACAGCACCTGCTGTTTAAATGATCCAAGAGCTGTCCAGTGGCCCCACCACTGTCCCCTATACTGAATTTCTAAAGAACGTACTCTCCTTGGCAACATCCTGAATGTGTTTATGTCTTTCATACCAGTAGGGTTTGATCCCTGGATGCTTTCGCCTTCTCTGGTCTAACTTATGGTGCATACAGACATCTCTGCCTTATCCACTGGCCTCCTTCTGACAACCACATCCCTCAGGGCTGGGGCTACCTGTATGGCCATATGCACCCCTACATGGACTGTGCAGATGTGTCTCACCAGCTGCTCCATCACTGTGAGATGTGTAGACTTCTGCCTGCACGCCCTAAGCCAGAAGCTGAAGGGAGGCCCCAGTGGAAGACTGTGCTCCTGGCTCTTCAGTCCTCCCTGTGACTGGGAGCTGTCGTGGGTGATAAGGGACTGAATGCTCTTCTCTTCTCAGAACCACCTACCCCCACACTGGCTTTTCTTAGGACCCTGGGGACCACAGCATGTGTCAGGCCTCATCATACACATGTGTCACACAAGAGCACAGGTGTCCCCTGAGAGACTCCTGGTCACGGTGGACAATAAGTTGCTCCTAACAGACAGGAGCAGCATTCTGGAGAGGTGGCACCATGAATGTCCATGCCCAGTCCCTCCACTTCCCCAGGATGGCCTGCTGGGTCACTCTGGTACTCGGACCCCGATAGC